GATCCAAAGTCCCCTTGCTCCTCTTCATCCTCTTCCTCCTGGGATTCACCGTCGTTTCCTGCTCCTCCTCCCATGCTGAATGGAAAGAAGTTTCCGAGGGTGTTCTTCATTCTCTCTGAGAATGATGATGACGTTGTTTGTTTCCCAGTTCCGCCTGCCATCATAGTGTTGTCTGTCGGAGATCTCCTAGTTGCCGTTACTTCAGTTGAGATGTCGGACAGTTCCGACATCTCCTCTCGATCCAATGTCCCGGTGGAAGTGGCAAAATCATGGCCTTGTTCTACCGGGGTAGATTCACTCGCCAGCCTTCTGCCTCTCCCTTCCAGTCCATTTACTTCCTGGTTGTCATTCATGGTATGGTCTGTATTGACCTCCACCTCTAACAGTTCTTTTCGCTCTTCTGAGGTCTTCTGACTTCTCGTTTCAACCATTCTGCCTGAAACCATCTTCCTTTGGCCGTTCCTTGTTCGTTTGATCCGCTCCACAAAAGGATCGGTCATTGATTTTCTTTGCTCCTCAGGTATGAATTTCCTAGAACTATTACCTCTTTTGGGTATTCTTGACTTGTCTAGACTCATTTCCTATTTGTACCTTCTCAAGCCTATACACTCAATTCGATTTATGGTGACTTCCAAGTTTTGACTATTAATAAAAATAACACAACACAATAAGTTTCACAAGTTTCTATTAGATAGTGACCACGAATCCCTGTATGTTATCAGAATACACCTCGTATACAATTTTATTCACACTAATCAATTATTGGTGGTAAGATTTGAAAACTAGCACAATATGATGTTATCAGTCAATTTAAAAGATAGTGTACTCACTACCCAATCAAGCACAGTTTATGTTGATTTAAAATCAAAAGTAACAGACTAAGAATATTTCTATGAAAAACGTATGTGTATTGTACTTTAGTCGGTCGTAGTACTTTAGTCGAATTTAAGTTTTTTAAAGAAAAAGCTTTCCCCGCTTGGTGCAGCACCAAACAGACAAAACTTTGAAGGCAGTAATTTTCTCAAGTGGGCGTCTATTGCACCCACCGAGTACTGGGTTACCTATCTGCCTTCGGACTGCCCGAGCTAGACCTACTAAAATCCTCAGGGCAGTCACTTTTCCCAAAAACGTATTATGTTACAATCCACACCAATGAATCACGCTCTTTTTAATTTAGACTTAATGTCGCGAATATCCGAGTTCGGACCTGTTTTGTATTTAGTCTGGTTCTTATTGAAAGGCAAGTTACCAGTGCAGTCACTGATTCCTAGCCTGGGTCTTAATAACCTAAGGTCTCTCACTAGTGTCTTCCTTCTGTCTTACTTGAGTCCTTCAAAAAAAAATTTATCTCTCTGGGTTGACAAAAACAGTACCCCTCCGGATTGGCAAAATAGGACCCTTCCGGATTGGTGAAATTAAGACCCCTCCGAATTAGGATCCCTCTGAGTTAGTAAATAGTAGACCCCTCCGGATTGGGACCCCTCCGGTTTTGTGGAAAGTAGACCCCTCCGGATTCGGACCCCTCTGACTTTGAAAAAATTTCGACCCCTCCGGATTGGGAGCCCTTTGGTTCTGTCAAAGTAGCTTTTCGGATTTTCTTAATTTCAGCTTATAGCCCTCCGGATACGTTCTGCGTTGCTTTTATGCTGTTTGAATTAACTGGGAAGGGTATAGGATCCTTTCCTAGACCCCTCCGGATTGAAGTTAAGCCACTTATTTGACAATTCACACTAACGGTGAAGGGTCTTATCACTTGCCTAATTTCGACTCTATTATGGTTGTCTTGTGCCTTCAGCCCTCCCTTTTTGTCTAGAACTGTCCTAAGTTACTTAGTTCAATCGCTATCAACTTTTGGTAGGGGTCTAAGGGTTTTTTAGAAAAATTTATAAAACGTGAAGGGTGTACCCCTCCGGATTTGTGTAATTTGCTAAAAACAATCTCAAAAAATTTTCTCGCTCGCCTTTTCGAGTAATTCTCTTTCCTACTAGTAAGTTCAGCTAATTTCTGATCTAATGGTACCAAGATTAGCCGGATCTGTCCAGTTGTCGAAAAGTTATTAGCCAAAACTTCTTTCTTGCAAACTCAAAAAATTTCTCACTTATAGGTTCCACCTAACTTTTTCCGCAATTCTGTTCCTTTCGGCCTAAAAATTATTGATCCGAGCTCAGAAGGCCTATACTCTTCTAGTTCAATCCAAAAGACCCGATCTAAAACGCTTTAGCAGAAAAAATTTGCGAAAAACTATGCTACCTGTACCCCTCCGGATTGATGAATCCACCAAATCAAACTCGTTAAGTTCGATTTCTCTGGAACGCGGAAGGCTTTCGGGTAGCGGGTTTTAAAACTCGTAGATTCACTAGTGGAAGTTGTCCAAACAACTATTTTTTCTGTCCTAACTCAAAAATTTCAAAAAATTTTCTAAATTTATAGTGTTTCGTTTTCTCAAAAATCACGAAAATTCGGTTTTTGGTCCCAAAATAGTTCCAACCACTTCCGAACTAAACTTAACCGGTTTTATCTATTATGGTAGTGCAGTTACGATGTAGCACACTAACTTAGCGCTTTTTTCCGTTTGAAAAAATATCGATATTTCAACAATCGCGACTTGTGGGGGGATCAAAATATCGCTATTTTGACCCTAAAAACCGGTCTGTTTTCGCTGTTTTTCACTGAAAAACGATATAAGACTATTAATATAGGCTCTATAAGTAATAATAATAGTAATACTATACCCCTCCGGGTTTGTTCAATATCCGAATTAAGGTGCTTCACTCGGATATTCGCAGTTCGGTGAAGGGTCACTACAGTGCAGCACTGTCGAGCCCCCCACAGATTACTATCTTACTTTTTGTACCAAAAGGGATACAAAACTTGTTAACGATACCCAACAGTCGATTGTTGTTGTCGTTGAGCCCTTTCTTGTTGCTCCTTGAACTGCTTGCCGGATCGGTCTTCACCCAAGACCCTTCCGAATTGAGCGCAAATCAGCTGACCCCTCCGGATTGAGCGCAATTTATCATTAACGTGCTTAAATGCTCAAATAACCCTACAGTACACGCCTCACAAGCGGGCCACAAAATTGATCGTAACGATCCTGACTGATATAAATGCCTGCAACAACAATATATCTATCAACAACAAACGGGGGGGTTGAATCACATCTTGTCTGGGGGGATGATTTCTACTGATTTTTTACTTTTTTTTTTTACTGTTTTTGGTTTTTTCGGTTATTTTTTATGTTTTTTGTTTTTCTTGGGTACTATACTACTTTTTGTTTGGTTTTATATATATCTTTAAGTGTTTTTGGTCACGAACCACTCAGGGGATGAGGGAATGGCCGATCCCCCCACCCTTCCTGGTTCGTGAATTTTCGGTCTTTACTAAGTTAAAAAGCTATTCACGGTAATCCGGAGGGCTTCCGCCGCCTCGAACCACCCTCCGCCCCGGCGGTTTAGGCCTAATAAGGGCGTTAATGTGAGCATCCGCTCGGCGCGGAGTGCTCGTTAACGGTTCTGCCGGTCATGATGTTAAAAAGAATAACACCCAGGAGCGCCATAAAAACATGTATGTAACATTCGCCCGGAAGATACATATCGACGGAAAACAAAACTAAGTCTTAAGACGACTGGCTAACGTCTAAACAGAGCTTTGCATGCTTTTCACCGTCTCTACCAAGCCAGTGCTTTCGGTGGTCTTTCCAACATCGGGTCGACAAAAACGTTACTGCTCTCCGGCTTCGACCAGAACGCTCAAATTAACTTAATTACATGCAAATAGTGAGCTCATGGCTGGGTCTCAGTATCCCCAGACCACGAGGTCACTCCTAAAAACAGGGCTACCACTATTTATTATATTACTATTGTTTTTGTTCAGTAGATAAAAATCATCATCTCCATCGAAGATGGATCAACCCTTCCCCCCCCCCCCCCCCCCAACTCCTAGCACCTCATCCTTGTCAAAACTAATCCAAATATCAATTAAATTCAAGTCAGGACATGACAGGATGCTAAAAGTTCATAGAACAGGCTAAAAGTTTCAGTCCCGAAACCCTTCCGGATTCTTGAATCCACTGAATCAAGCTCCTTAAGTTCGATTTCACGATAACACGGAAGGCTGGTTTTCACCCTTCACCCAACGTTCTCTGCTATTCTGTAGTTCGTTGTCGTTTTTCTTTAATCTCGATTTTCGTCCTGTTTGCAATCGCAGATAAAGTTGTTCTGTTTTTCTTAGTTCTTTTTCTAAAATGGCCGTTTCTGACGTTTCTCAGAAATGTTACGTCATCACTTCGAAAATTTAAAATTTTAAAATACGGGAATATCCTGACCTTCACCGTTCTGCTAATCATCCGAATAACGTCGTTAATCCTTCGAAATCATCAACTCGGAAGGCTTACTGCTAAAAATTCGAAGTCTGCATAAATTGCATTTTGGCCATTCTGGTCGAATGTCACAATAGTAACTTTTTACTTAGCCCTAAACAGACCAGAAAATCAACTGGCAAGGTCGAGACGGTGAAAAACGAGTAGGATTAAGGTAACTGACGCCTGCCAGTCGTTAATAGGTACTTTTACTACGCTCCGTCGCTGTGTAGTATTTGGGCGAATGTTACATAGGTTACTGTCAGGAGTCCCTTCTTCACGTATTCCAGTCAAAATCCTTGAAATTTTCTAGATATGAAGTGATAATGATAAAAAAAGGAGATGATAAGTGTTGATGTCCTTACAAGTAAACTCGATACGTGTTACGTTTCTTCAATATGAACTCGCAACTCGACACAAGAAAATATAATATACAAATATAATTGTGTTTCATCAATAAAATCCTAAAACTTTTAAATAAAACTAAGAATCTGTTAGTTAAATTTCTGCACATTTGAATTAAAATCTTTATGGCGTAAATGTATTTATGGTGTAACGGTACTGTGAAATAATTTCTAGTGAAGAGCTACTGAAATAACTTCGAATTGAATGATAATTTCTGACCTTGTGATTTACCTTTTTCAGATTTTACTATGTCTACAGAAGCGCAATCTGCGAAAACGGAACAGTCGAGCACAGGTGCAGGTACGTCTATTTGTTGCCAATTTCTCATCATTATAAGAGCTATCAATTTAATTGTCTTTTCTTTTTAATTTATAACTATGAAACAAATTTAGACCAATACGCAAACAGCTACTATCAACAGTATCAGCAGCAATGGCCTGGGCAGCAAACTCAAGATGCAAGTGTGCGTAAAGCGGGCTGATTTCTTTTTAATTCATCCCATCATTTCGATTCGAAATGCGATGAATAATTGTTGTATAATTGTATTTTTAGCAGCAACAACAGCCTCAGGCATATGATCAAAATGCTTACAATCAGATGTATGGTAAGTGTTGTCTATATTTTACACTAAATTGATAATACTCACTAGAAGCATAATTGTATGGCACTTCGAGCATTATTATTACAAAAAAAACAAGGATAGCCGGTTACTGTGCAAGACAGACATAGTAAACGGGTCTTTCGGAAAACAGTTTTTGAATAAAAATGACTAGAAAAACGAAAAACAAAGAAACTTTTTGCAGAAACTTGGAATTTTTAATTTGGTTACGGTAGTTTTGAATTTTCTAGCCCAATATCAACAATCTGCTGATCCTGCAGCGCAAGGGCAACAAACACAAGCTTATGATCAGTATAGTCAACAATACTCTCAATATCAAGCGTATGCAGGTCAAACACAACAGACAGGCCAAACGGGAAACGACCAATATCCACAGCAATCGGTAGGTTTGGCTCACAGTCATTGCTACAAAATGTCCAGACTCAGCAAACTTAAAGTTTTTGGTTGTTTTGAATTTTGATATAGAATCAGTGGCAGCAGCCGCAATCCCAGTATCAGCAGGGGCAAGGAGGATACAACGGATCTAGTCAACAAGGAGGATATGGCGGTGGACAATATGGTTAGGAAAAGATTCAGTTTCTATTATCGATATTATAGAAACATTCTCTCAGAATCACAGGCTAGTGCATCTTGTCCCTTTGTTAGGTGGACGTGGAGGAAGTGGTGGCTCATATGACAGCAGTAGTCGAGGTGGGGGATACGGGTCATATGACAGTAGAGGGGGCAGTCGAGATAGAGGAGGGTAGGTCAATATTAACAGATTTTGACTGTTTCTGTTTTTGAAGGTTCTGAGATGGTTGTCGAAACAATTTTCTCCTTACTTGTCAAGAAGTTTTGAGGTGACGTTTTACAATTTTCCGGAAGTCTTTTTTTTGTATTTTTTTCCAATAAATTACCAAGAAAATAAATTTAAGGAAAAATTGTTCTAATTAGTTTCTATCAAAGAATTAAGTCACAGTTGGGTAACCAGAGAGTGTATAATGCATTGTTCAGTTAGATACGAGTACCGGAACTTACGAAAGGCCGTAGAAAATTAAGTTAAATGCTGAGGTGCGCAAATGTTAAGCAGTTTTCTTTGGATTTTGAACTTCTTATTGTAATGTTGTGTGACAGAAAGACCGCGTATAGTTCTTTTTATATTTGCGAGAACAAGTGATGTATAATCGGGTAACCAACTTCATGCTGAACAACAAAAATTATTTTCCTTGCAATAATTTTGGGCGACCTGACCTGCAAGTAGTTTTGCCTATGTGTTTACCTATGAAATAGTCTTTACCTATTAATAAGTCTTTATCAGTTTATGGTACTAGTTTTGGTACGTTTTTTTTTTTGAAATAAGAATAAATAGTTTTACTTGAAATTTCGACATTTTTTGTTTTTTTTTTGAAATAAGAATAAATAGTTTTACTAGAAATTTTGAGAAGACTGCTTGTATTAGGAAAATATTCAAATTTTGCGTCTGCCATTGTGTTGATGAAAAAGTGTTATCATATTCTTTAAATTTGAAAATTGTGTTTTGAAACTTTCCCAATCATACTGTATAAATTACAGAGCCTATTTTTTGCGAGGAAAAATAGGTCAATCTGGAAACATCATTGGAGTCAAAATTATAAATGACCCTAACTGCAGCAGTAATGTCAAAAATCCAGGCCTCGCTGAAGCATGAACAGTGGCAAATAAAGAACATAGAAGCCTTGCCTAGAAAAGTTGTCGATTTAAACTATGCACTCAAGGTCCAAAGATCAGAGATCGTAATGTCATTGCGCGTGAATTTTCTTCTTGAAAAGCCACTAGCAAGTTAATTTTTGTTAGATGAGTCGGGAGAATAAAGAAAACCCATTTTCTGAAAAAGAAAAACTTGTTAAACCACGAAGATGTCAAAATATTCGAAGATGTAATTAGAGGCGGCAGTCGAGTTAGAGAAGGGTAGGTCAACATTAACTGGGTTTTTCTGTTTTCGAAGGTTCTGAAATGGTTGTCAAGCAGTTTTTAGGTGACGTTTTACATGTTTCCTGAAGTATTTTTTCATGAACAATAAACATACTGCTCGTTTCAGAGATAATTACTGAATCTTCACACCACCATTTAATGCCTATGAAACAGTTTTCACAGATTTCTAAACTTCCACAATCATACACCGTCTAAAACAGAGCATCATTTTGTTGGTGTAAAGAAAGAAAGTCAACATAGAATTATTTTTAGAGTCTGGTTAATAAAAGAACTATAACCGCAGCGACAATGTCAAAAATCTAGGCCTCACGAAAACATGACCAGTGGCAAGTAAAGAAGATAGAAACCATGCTGAGAAAAGTTGTCGATTTTAACTATGATCTGGAGGCCCAAATATTAGAGAACGATTTATCATTGCGCGTGGTTTTAGTTGAAAAGCCAGTTACAGAGACCTATAACAAGAGCGGCAATGTCAAAAATCTAGGCATCACTGAAACGACCAGTGGCAAGTAAAAAACAAAGAAATCATACTTGGAAAAAATGTCGATTTAAACTATGCACTAGAGTCCCAAATATCACAGAACGATAAGTCATTGCGCGTGGTTTTACTTGAAAAGCCAATTACAAAGACCTATGTCCGCAGCAACTATGTTAAAAACTAGGCCCCAATGAAACATGACCAGGGGACAAATAAAGAACATAGAATTCATATATGGAAAAAATGTCGATTTAAACTATGCACCGGAGTCTCAAATATCAGAAAACGATATATCTTTGCACCTGGAATTCTTTCTTCAAAAGCCACTAACAAATCGAATTTTGTTGGATGAGTCGGGAGAATAAAGAAAAATGTTTTCTGAAAAAGAAACGATCTAAATTTCGATCAATTTTTTTTGGAAATTCGAGCTAAAACTGTTTTGAGGTAATGGGTTGTATGAAGCTGGATTATTTCTGAACTTGACCGGACAAATAGGATCATAAGATGGAACATCAACATAAACCGTTTTGCCAAAGGTCCATGGTAATATGTTGTTTCATTAATTTGAAATGTACATAATTATCTTCAAGATATAGAAGCTTTTTTAAAAAAGTTCGAAGTATTTTGCGCATTTTTGAATGTACAAAATCGGCCTTTTTCAAATTCTTATAACTTCAACAATTTATTTTCGATGTAAAATTTTCAAGAGTCGATGAACGTTGTTTAGATTTATATAGGTCGCGATGACTTTTTTGGTTTTTTTTTCAGACAGTCTTAAAGTTTGTGCAGGCTCAATTTTACTTTTGTTGTTTGACTTTTGATTTTTTAAAAGTTCAGTTCATTTCTTTTGTTAGAAAGGAGGCAAATTCCACTATCGAACAGCAAAAGTGTAAAGGTCACAAAAACGTGATCGGCTTGGCTTCTAGTTTTCGATTGTTGAATTGAATTTTCTTATTTCCAGTCAAATAAAAATTTTACTTATTGATCCAATTTTCTCAAATTATTTTCATTTTATCAGAAAAGTGCCGGTCGTTTTTCTGATAACGTGCGTTGATTGGCTCTTTTTCTACAGTATCTTGGCTATGATTACTTTTTCTTGTTCACAAGAAACCATTGATAGGGGCTTTTTTCAGTTTTATATAATTAGATCGAAGCAAGGGTATTGGATTCTGGTACTTTTTTTCCCTGTAATTAACTTTGTTCACGTCATTTCCAGTTTTAGAAGATCTTCAATTTCAACCAAGTTGCACTTTGAACACTCTAGTTTTGTCTCTAGGTTTAATGTGTCTAATGTGAGTTAATCAGTGACTGGGTCTACGTGCGAAAAATTTTTCAGATGTAAATTGATTTTTTGTAGGCTTATTGATTTCGTTCAATTTTATGCCGGTTTTTTTGCTCGGTTGTTTTCATTCAATTTTGAAGAACGTAATCATATTTCGTCGATTGAGTTTGATGTTATACACGCTAATAAAATCAGTTTGAATTTTTTTGTTGATTTTTTTTCATTAATTTTCATTTTTTTTGAATTCATGGTTTTTAATTTTTATTTGTTCTGAAAGCGTGTCAAATCGGTATAAAAGTAGTTTAATGTCATAATCTTTTTTTGAGCAATTCAGTTTTAATCCTTTCAAGGTGATGGCACATCGTATTGTTTTAATGTATATAGTTTTTCAAAGTCTTTTTAAAATAAATTTCAGGATTTTTTAAAATATTTTTGGCTTGAGCAGTTTGTCTAGGAATGTATTTGGCGCGTGTTGCACGAGTTTCAAGGGTGTGGTTGTTTCTGGATGAATTTGAACGAATTGAATTTTCGTGTATCTTTTGCATTAACTTTTGTTAACTATTTTTCTTTTATTATTTCTAATATTTCTTAATTTTGATTTTGTCTATGTAATCAATCGAAAGTGCCGTTGATACCCCAAGTGTTCTTGATGGTTATGCAATTTGTTTGGATTGCTGATTTTCTGCGAAGTTTTTTTAAAAGTTTTTTGGTAGTTTTTGGATCATGATTTTGGACCGAAATCTCACTTTCTTATTCTATCCATCTAATAGTTATCAGAAAGAAGAATTTGTGTTTGTGTAGCCTGAATTCTGAGGTAATTGTTTTCTATAAGAGTTGCAAAAAAGTTTCTTGATTTTTCAGCTGACGATTTTTTCAACATAATTCATTTAATCACATTGTGCCGCATTGCGATTCATTGTACGTACATAGCTCTGCTTTGCCTTTGTTTGCATGCAAGATTCCATACAATTTCTCGCTGTTATCTAATTTTGCATCGCACGTGGTGAGAAGCTACGCTTCGCTTCGTCTCTGTTTATGAATTTAATTAATTTTCAATTTGTGCTCAATTGAAACTATGTAGTCAAAGCATGAAACTTCTAAACGCTAGATATCCGGTTCGAACCTAAATTGAAGTTGAAAATGCTAGAAAATTGCTTATCACCATATGCTTGTGAAGCGGAGATATTTATTACTTATCAAGTGGAGCTCGATCGTTTTATTCGTAACTCAATGAATGCAGTACAATGTGTATAAATTGTGACAAAAATGGATAAAGTTTTTTTTCAAATTGCTACTAGGTCATGTTCTTTGATTGTGACGGCCTATAGCCAGAAATATCAATATAAACGGAAATATCATTACTACTAGAGCACCTTGTCATATTGATTGTCCATGTATGCAATGGACAAGTTCATTGCGGTAACAGACGCAAGAAAATTATTTGACCTGGGCGAATCTTTCTTAGTCTATAACTCGCAACTGAGAAAGTGCATGGGCGTAGATAATGTTACGAAAAAAGTTCCATATGAAAATGAACAGTATAGTGAACCGTTGACAGTCGTTTCATTGATCATGTGGTCCAGTCCCGTGAGAGCCAGTGGTTACTAGAATTATGCATTCGAAATTAAGATGTTTTTATGTAAGTGCAATTAAAGCAGCAAAATGTGAGCCGTGGTTACCATAGACCAGGTACATGTGCGGTAATATTATTGCATAGGGATTCTAAATTTTCGTAATATTATTTGAGTTAATTATCCCGGTTTATTTGAAGCTTTTGGAAATGCCTATTATAATTAAAAGATTGTCTCCACGGCTATTTTTTTTATTCTGAATGGCAGGAGTTGTATCCGCTTAAGTTATGCGGACATAGCATGATTTGATGGGAGTCACTAATGAAATGGTGAAGTGTTGTAATTTTCCATAGCGGATTGTCGGTTCGATCCACTGGTGTGGCAAGTATTTCCATGTTTCACATTAAGCGCTCCGTAAACCGTTTTTTTTGCTTGCGATGGAAATAGCAACTTTGCATCTGTCTAGAAATCTTATTAAACCAAGAAAATACCTAAGAATTTACAAGAGAACACTTTTTGAGGCAAGTATCATGGTACGACAGGTCAGTTAGTTGCTTTATTTCTGTCTTCGCCGCAAGTGATGAGAAGTTTTAATTCGGTGATTTTACTTATGTATCTAAATAGTAGTTTATGCTTTTTATAGAGATGTCTACACAATTAAAGTGCGTTTTACATAGGGCACCATAGATATTCCAAACGCCCAAAAATGGTCCCCAGGTGGATTTGTTATAAAACGGCATCGAGAATTTTAATGCGTTCTGTAAAAGTTGTTGAATATGGTATACTAAAGTTAATTCAAATTGTTATTTTAACCAACTAAATTTGCTGAAATAAGAATCTTTCCTGGCATTCTTGTTTAATTTTTCTTCGAAAGCCGGAGAAATTAATATTCGGGAGAGTTCAAAAATTAATTGTTTTCATTTCAGCTTCAAAACTATTATTTAGCTAGCGCCAATTGATGACCTCATTCTCGGCCAGCGATACAATCTTCAGGTTACCATTTGCTAACAATTACTCCCATTGCACTTGTAGCGCTCAGAATGTGACCGCCGGGATACCTGAATAATGATGTATTGATAAGGGCTAAGTCCATGTGTTGAATGTTCATTTCAGCTACGGTGGCGATCGCGGGGGACATCGCGGCGGAGGCTCCTACGGTGGCGGTGGCGGCGGACCCCGGGGAGGGGGTAGAGGTAACACCAGAACTACTACGTGTAATGTGTCGCTGGTTATCTTGTTTGAAATTGAAACTATTTAGCTGTCATTGGATCGAGAAAAAGACATGTGAATTTGAACTGAACTTATTCGAGGCGAGTTGATTGAGCATTTAATTTTTGAAGCAATGGATTGAATGCAAAGAAGGAGGGAGTGTTGGTCGGGTTTTTGAAGATAGGAGTTGAATTTATTTAAAAGCAAGGGTAATTTAAGAAATGTTTGCCTCTAAACCTGTAAAAAATGTATAAAAATGTACAAGTTCGGACGGAGTTTGTTCTGTATGCGTACAGTCAATTTAGTGAACGAATTGTGTGAAAATAAATAAATGGTCATCTTCACAAATTGATCCTCTAAAATGTTGAACTCGGTCTGAGTTCGGTTTGCTCTTCGCTCATGGTTAATTCTAATTGGACACACTAGCGAAAATTTTTAAACCTCAAGGCGCTGTGCAAACAGGGTCGACGTTATAAAGGCTTAGAAAAATTTTTACGTTCAAAATTTTATGCGAGAGGGAAAAAGGTACTACATAAATGGTAAGTTCAGTACGATTTCTGGTATGGTTTAAAAGGAGTGGTTAAATTAGGTTATTGCGCAAAATGTGTCACTTAGTTCTCTCGCTTGATGTAACTACAGTGTTTCGTGTAAGTAAGGTGTTGAGTTTATGGTGGCACGATACGGTTGCTATGGTTCGAAAATATGTGAGTTAGTTTAATTTCTGCCTCGAGGTTACCGTGTAAAATAGGTACGAAAAAATTTGGTCAGAAATATTTGTAGCTGCATCATTAATCTAATTGAAAAGCGTGTCGACTGTGTTTTCGATTTTTAAAAATCGATGCTGTATACAAAATCATTTTTTCTAGCGTAAGCAAATGCCTACTAACATAAGCAAATGTTTAGTTTTTTCTAGCGTTTGTCCATTGGGTTTTTATGATTAATAATTAGTTAGAAGTGTGAAAATGTGATTTGAAGTCAGAGGAAAACGGTATGTAATATCTGTTCGTTTTCTCGATAAAATCTCGATGTTTTCTCCTAATTTAGCTGATGAATAGAGTATTTTCCAAAATCCACATTTTGATAATTTTTTATGTTTTCTAAAAGTGATAACGATGCAGTCAGTCGAGCATTCCATGATTAAAAAGGTTCTCATCGGGCTTACTATTATTTAAATGATACTAAAAGTTGTTAAGAGGGGGTCTTGATTTGATCCAAGCATTACATGCTCCTTTATCTTCAATTAATATTTGTTATAATATGTAAGAGTGAATAATTTTGACCTCATTTTGACAATTGACGATGTTTTATGAATATTATGAAAGATTGTTCCGGCGTCTCTGTTTAATACACGGCTGCGAGTTGACGTCCGATCGAATACTCAGGAGCTCAAGGTTTTGTGAAATACAGGATTAAGTTTGAAAAGCGTGTTTTGATGACATGCTTTTTATTAAGTTCCTTGTTTTTTTAACTGTATGCGAAGTATAACTTCGCATCTAAGCTTAAATGGTGTTTCTCACGTTTGATCTTCTAAGATTTCCGAGCTGAAAACTTGAGAATAACGTGGCTGTCGTAAAACAATAGGTGTTTTTGGGACCGTACCTAACGACTAGTGAAGAAAAAAATGCAGTCGAAAATCATGACGCTGACCAAAATGTTCGTATGCACAATTATAGGCGTTTCGGGTAAAATGAGAATTAACGTAAAGATGCATTAGATCAAGAGTGTTCGGAAAATTATGAAGCTAGAGTAGTGTTATTGTTTGACAAATGTACCGGTTGTAAATTTACAAGGTCTGGTGCTAACGTTTAAAAAAAGGATGTCGAGCGTGGTAAGTTTGTACAAGTTGTCTAGCGGCGAGTGTTCCATGGTTACGATTAGTATGAATAGCTTGGATTGTACCCGTAAAAGTAAATCACTGTTTCTGCGGAATCAATTCGGCAAAAAACCTAGCTTCATTAAAATATTTGACAACGGAAACCAGTAATGACTGAGAGGTTCAAACAATACCTGGTTAATAGGAAAAACAGGCTGCAAATATTGAATTACCCTTACTGACTTTTTGCTAAATTTTGAGATCTTTCATTGTTAACTCTGATCTTCAAAGCAATATTTTTTTAGGTGGATTCAATTCTGGATTTCAGCTAACACCAAGTAAGTATTTTTGTCAATTTCGACGCTTCTCAGAATAAAACTATTTTATTAAATGGGAACCAGGAGCGGATTTATAGGGAGGGTTCGACCCATTCACCATTTTAGGCCGACTGACCCAAAAATTTTTCTACAGGCGCCAACATATACTAGTTTTGAGTGGAATTATCAGCCCGGAAAATCAATTTGGTCATCAAAATTTTCGAAATCCTAGATCTGTCCCTGATTGATCCAAACTAAATTTGATCTCGGTTAAACTAATAGGAAACAAAGGAAGCAACAATTTTAAATGGATTGTTTTCTTTTCTGCAGAGGAGCCAGACTCTGTGAAAGTGACTGGGTACCCATCTGGAACTACACTGGAGGAGCTCATTGAACACTTTAGCCAAATTGGGGTACTCAAGGTAAACTCATTAATAATCCGTGGAACCTATGAATCCTAATAATGGGTTCAAAGCGAAGCGCGATTTGATGATGGTAGTGGTGATTCGGAAGGTGATAATATAACATTCCAAAACTCATAATAATAATAATATTATAATAAATTGTTTCCAAGTGAAGTATATATATAATATAATTTCTTTATAACGAGTCTGAACTTGAGACATGTGTTCTTCTGTAGAAAGACAAGAGAACTGGGAAGGAGAAAGTGACGTGGAATGGAAGTGATCACTCTACTGCATACGTGACCTTCGATGACCCCTACACTGTGAACAACTGCATCTCCTGGTTCAACGGTAAGACAATGAAGTTTTTTTGAAATGAGGGGTAACATACCAACCTGGGCATTTTGTATGAATAATGAATAATTTGACTGTAACAAGTAATTGAAGTTTTAGTTTTCGCTTTTTTTGTCAGCTGTCCGCTCTGAGTTTCAATTTACTGTTAATATGTTGATTGTGATTTTTTGAAGTTCTTAATGTAATTTGTTACGTTGAGAAATAAACTCTTCTTCTGTAAATCATTAAAATCACCTGAACAACAGTAGCTTCATAGTAATCAATAAAGGGCTGTTATCGGATATTTGTGTTTTACAAAGTTGTGCGAAAAAGCTCCTGTTTTTTGCAGGAAAAGACTTCAAAGGCCAGCCAATAACAGTCGAGATGGACGAGTGGGGAAAGCGAAACCAGGACAATGCGAACGCCGGAGGCGCTGGAGGAGGAGGAGGTGGAAGTGGGTACTCGAGTAGTGGTGGAGGAGGCGGAGATAGAGGAGGCAATAGTTATGGCAACAAGAGGAGCTATGATGACTACAGAGGAGGCGGTGGTCGGGGAAGTGGAGGAGGGGACTACAGGGGCAGTCGGGATAGTGACAGAGGCGACAGAGGGGGCGGTGATAGAGGAGGAAGCCGATATGACGATGACTATAAGCGACCGAGAGCCGGTAAGAATGCTAAACTGCCTGAAGGGTATTTGAGCGGCTTTGTTACACTAGTTAGTAGCTAATGTATTAGTTTGAACCTTCTTTTTCCAACCTAACTTGCAAACGAAAGTGTGCATTGGAAGTGGAAAGAAAGTTTTCACTTATCTGGTGGAACTTTTGCTATAATCACGATCTAGCATTGGAAATTGCATAGCATCTGTTCTCTGCTTTTTTGGTGTCTAGTGTTTGACGCTTTATTTGGCTGCGAGTGTTTGCCGATCGTCAATCGACCATGGTACAGATGGAAGGAAGTGAGACTCCTAACTACTAGTCGGGGGTTCAATACCGTTGTTCTATGTAGGTTTTGATGTTTTTTGGATTTCAATCTCAAATTCGATTTTTCGCGGATTGACTTCTATACTATATTTAAATGCGTGTGACACGTATCTTGCCATGTTTAAGCGATTTTTTTTGCTACAGTTAAGGGAATAACGTGTGAATGCGTGGTTAAGCTATATCGTATATTGCAATGTGTAAGAGTTTTTTGTTCGATTTTCCATTTGAATCTAGTGTTGGTTTCACCGAGTCAAAAGTTAGCAACACAAAAGTGGGATGCTGTCAGAGTTTCCCCAGAGTAGGCGAATTTGGTCCTCAGTTAAGAATGCCCAAATCCTTGTAGCGTACGAGATAAAAACGGTTTTTGGGTTTTTTCCAAGTTTTTCAAAAAACTTATTTTATAAAATAACTTACGAAAACTTGAAATTCCCCACACAGTGTGTTTTATGATTTCTTTTTAATTTTTCAGGAAACTTCGGCTTTGGAAATTTCAAAAGATTTGAAATTCCTAATCTTGTAGATGGGTACTATAAGGGTACTCTCAGGAGTTTCAAGATATAAATCTTGCACTCAAATGCGACTGCTCAAATGCTCTCAGTTTTCGAGAGATGACGTTTCGTGATTTTTCAAAAAACTTTCAGAAATCCTAAATTTAAAAATTTTTGTCAAATTTGGAAATTCCCAACACTATTTGGGGGCTTTCAGAATACTATAGGGGTTGCGAATCTAACTTCCAATTATGGTTGTTCAAATCTTTGTTGTTTACGAGATATGACGTGTGTTGTGATTTTTTGAAAAATCTCAGAAAACTTAATTTCGATTTTATTTTCACATTTTGAAATTCACGACCCTTTAGTTGGAAGCTGTCAAAATTTTCTCGGGGTATTGCAAATCTTGACTCTAAATATGACTACTCAAATCAGTGTTCGAAATATGACGTTTCTTGTGTTTTTTTTTTTTCAAAAAAAAAATTCAGAAAACTTCAATTAGTTTTTCGTTTTGAAATTCCCAACCCTTTAGTTGGGGGCTGCCAGGGTACTTAAGGGGGTTGCGAATCTTGCCGCCACGTATGACTGCTCAGGACTTTTTAATTTTCCAGATGTGACGTTCTGTTTTTTAAATTTTTTTCGAAACTTAAATTTAAAATGTTTCCAAATTCGAAATTCCTAACCCTGTAATTGGGTACTGTGAGAGTACTCTCAGGAGTTGCAAATTAAGCATCCAAATGCGACTGCTCAAATGCTTTTAGTTTCAAAGATGTGACATTTTGAATGTCATTTTAAAAAGATTTCAAAAGACTTATATACAAAATTTAATGTTTTTTCCAAATTTGAATTTAAAAACTCATAGAAAAAAAAACATCATAATTTGAAGTTGCGAACCCTGTTATTGAGATTGCGAGAGTACACTCAAAGGTTTTAGATCTTTTTTTTCAATATATAGGGTTTTTATGAGTTCTCAAAAATTCGAGGCACCAGAGGTGTGTTACACGATAGTTCTTTTTAAATTCACTTCATTTCCTTCATTAAATGATGAAAAACTTCGCTATCAAACAGCTTAAATGAAAAAGTCAGGAAAAACGAGAATGAATTTTTGTTTTAAAAACGGACTTTGCCTCCCTGAGTTTCCAGTGGAATAATAAAATTGCCTATTGCTGCACTTGGCGCTAGTCTTAATTATATTTGGCCACACTTTTTGCTGCTTAGTATTTGGCAATTTGTTAGCATCTATAGCTGCATCAGGAAATGTTCAATGGCACGTGTCCCAGATGCGAGAAAGTGAGACTCGGATTCTCTAGGTAGCAGGTTCGAATCTGTCACATAGCAAAAGTTTTAATAATTGTAGTCTTCTTTCTACTTGGTTACTTCAGTTTTTGGAGTTGCTTTTTGCCGTTTTCTCGCTTGTTTGTAGAGCGCATCTTCGCCTCTGTGTAAAAATCTTCAGTTTAAATGCTAATTCAGATGGTGGACGAGGTGGAGGCGGTGGTGGTGGTGGTGGTTTTGATGGCGACTGGATCTGTGGTCAATGTCAGGGAAACAACTTTGCTCGAAGAACCGACTGCTTCAAGTGCAGAGCACCCAAGGATGAGTCCAGCACCCCTGGCGGGGGCGATGGAGGCTTCCGTGGAGGTCGAGGCGGTGGACCTCCAGGTGGATTCCGGGGTGGCCGAGGAGGCGTAGGCGGAGGAGGCGGGACTGATAGAGGACCTCCTGGCCATGTGCAGAACCCAGGAGACTGGACGTGTCCAGACTGCAGCAACATGAATTTCGCCAAGAGGATGGAGTGCAATAGATGCAAAGCACCCAGACCCCCGGGATCAGGACCCCCTCCAAGCAGAGGAGGTTTCGGTGGGTTTAGAGGCGGTGGTGGTGGTCGAGGAGGTATGACCAATTTCTAAGGTTTTGAAACTGCAGTGTTTGCTTAAAACTTCTTTGTGAAAAGACGGTTGAGACTAATGCTACAAATGATCGCGACCATGACAGAAACTATGTAGAAATTGAAGTAACTTTATTTAGTGCAAGCAAATGAATATTTGTAAGTTTTTTTTAACGATAATCAGATGATTGTATATTTTAAAAACTACAAAGAGCCGTTCTATACCGTTTGAATATTCAAGGATCAGAGGTTTCAGACTTCGGTGGACGAGGTGGCGGCGGAGGATTTGGTAGAGGCGGAGGTCGAGGAGGACCCCCACGTGGAGGAGGCGGAGGATACGGCGGACCTCGAGAAGGAGGGTATCGAAGGGACGGTGACAGAGACCACAGCGGAAGTCGAGATGACAGAGATAAAAGGTTGGAGAATAATTTAGCTTGAATTTGTTTGCTTGTAATTATTAATTTTTCCCCGCAAACAATTTTTTTTTACATATTTGTAAGAAATTGACTTTTCTTTATAAAGTGTCGATGAGCATGGTTCAGACAGATAATGAGGTCTTGCAGTTTTAAAGTGTCAATTAATGTAGTGAAGACTCTTATATAGGTCGTGATGATTTCAGGAGTCTGTTTTTTTCAAGAATAAGTCTCAAATTTGATTTTTTAAAAGGAAGGCAAACTCTACTATCGAAGAGCAAAAGAAAGTGTAAAGGTCACGAAAAACGTGATTGACTCTAGTTTTGACATTGGATTTTAAACTTCAGGTTTACCAGTGGAATAAAAAAATTTACCTATTGATCCAGAGCTTTAACGTAATGTTTTTTTGCCTTCAAAGTTCGAAGGTTGAAAAAAATTAATCCGAAAATAGTTGAGTAAGTTTTTGTTTTTCTGAGTTCATCGACCTTTTTCCAACTTCCAGTCTTTGAAACCTCATATTTTACGGAACCTCAAGATCTTTCAGTCCCCTTACCACGTGGTCTACAAGTAAAGCATGCGCCTTAGGAACGTAAGGTCTAGGCTTCGAGTCCCGATGTGTGGAAATTGATTTTTTGGAAAAAGTTGAGAATGGTCGGACAATCGTTTTTGACGGCTTAATTTCCACAGCGTGGATTTTTTTTCTGATATAAGCAGTTCTACTATAACGTGCTGATTTAAGTTTTCCGGACAGAACGCATTAATGTTGAAAATTTATGAAACGCGTTTTTCTTAAGTTTGGTTATTTTTAGATGAAAAGCGAAGAAGCAAATTTTGCTTAGAATTTCAGCAGAATAAATATGGTAAAATTTGTTTTTCGAAATCCGGACCCAAAATTTCATCCTCAAATGGATCATTTTTGGTTCCTTTTAGTCAATCAAAAGTTAAGCCTAAACTACCTCGTCGATCACTAACATAATTACATCACGATGAGGCGCTACGTAGCCTAACAATCTTTAAAAAGTGCATTATTTCTAAAACGTTGTTTAAATTTATTTAATTTTGTTTTAGGCAAAAAAGGTAGTTTTTACTATAAAAAAGAAAATATTAATTGAAGATGATTTTTAAATGTTTTATGCAATTTTTTTTGGAGAGTGTACCCTTCTTAAAGTTCGTGGGCTTTCTAAGAGGGTTACTTTGATATAATTATGTTAGTGGTCGACTAGATAGATTTGGCGTAATTTTTGATTGACTAAAAAGAGCCAAAAATTATCCATTTTGGGGTTAAATTTTGGGCGCGAATTTCGCAAAACAAATTTAACTATAATAATTCTGAAATTCTAAGCAAGTTTCGTCTTATCCCTTTGCATTTCGTCCGGATAAATCAGCACTGTAATTGCTCTTGTGTTAATTGCTTCGCTTGCCTTCTGTGTTTAAAAAAATCTCATTATTGATGTGGTGATTTGTCAATAGAAAGAATCAGTTGGGTCTCCGAAGCGTATGATCCTCTTGTCAGCTGTGCGAATACGGCATTACCAATCCCTGAGTTTCCCCTTAATACAATCGAAATTTGCAACAAGGAGTCAATAGCGCTCTAAAAAGCTCAACAACATGGAAAAAGGGTCAAAATTATAATATGTTTTGCTTTTGCTTCAGGTCACGATAATTAGCAGTATGTGAGAAATGTTGGCAGGTCATCTGGACGAAACCTCATTGACAAGCGATAAATGTTTTATTACTCTCCTTTGTGCGTTCAAACCAAACTTTATTTTAACAGTGAATTGTGCTGATCTCGATGATTGCGTCTAATGCTTCTTTTGCTCCAAGATGATTGTTTTCCGCGATGTTAATAAATTAGAGCCCAATGCGCATGCACTTAAACTTTTGCCTCTTTTTGTGCAAAGGTGTTAATTTTTTTTGTCGACTCGTTATAGAGCTCTTGTTACTACTTTTTCTGTTCTCTAATCGCTGTTGTGAGATTTTGTTGTATTTTAAGTTATATGCATCGAAATTGAATTTTTGTTGTAAATCTTTTCTGGAACCAATGTCAATCAGTAGCGGAAGACACTGAATGTCAACAGTTTTAATTGAGTTAAAATATCCTAATTTTTTCCGAATAGTTTAACTCAAAAGTACTGAAACTATTTTTTGAGCTGGCCAACGTCAACTGGGCATGTATTGAGGCAATGAGTATTAATTGCAGATATCTGAAATGTCTACCAACAAGAGTAAGCTCAGCAAAGACAGTCTGTACAAGGCCATCGATCAGGTTTTAGAGGGATCCGCGAACCCCAAGAGGAAGTTCCGAGAGACGGTCGAACTGCAAATAGTGCTGAAGAACTACGACCCCGCTAAGGACAAGCGGTAAGTTCTTATTGAATTGCTCATAACAAAGCTAATCAAAGCTTATTGATCCTGGTTTTTTAAAAGTGTTCATGAACGAAGTGAATTTTCATTTATCGTTGTTCATGGTATGTTCAATTTTTATTCAGGAAAAAGTCTTAAATTTCATGAGGCTCAAATTTTTGTCATGAGTCTAAATTTTTTTGTCATGAGGCTCAAATGATTTCTTTTTGTGTTCTATTCAAAATCGCCACTAGCAAACTAAACTGACTATAATTTTTTTAACATTTTTTTACACTAGAAATAGTACGCGGTAGTGTAATAGTACGACTATTCTTTTTTTTTCTAACGTAAGTCGCAAATATTGGTGCCACTTTTGGGGCACTTTTACGGCTTTTTGATAGTATGTGCTTTAAGGCTCGATTTTCAATAAGTTAACGCAGTTGATGCTTTTTTCGTTCATCAAATGAACCGGAAAACAAAATTTCAAGCATTAGTACAATCCTTAAAACTCGATTTCACACATTTTGCAACTCAATATAATTATTTTTCAAATGCATTATTTATACATAATTTAGCATTTTGCTTTCCAATTAACACATGCAAAGTTAATGTGGATGACCTGTTTGTTATATTCCAAATTATTACATGCAAAATTGTGTCTATTTATTTGTATTTGGTGCCACTTTTGCTGCATGGCATTGGCAATTTATAAGCTTATGTAGCTGCTTTGTTTGTGATTTCTGTTTGACGATTGTTAAGTGTTCGTGGCTGAGAGGGCAGGGCGTGAGACTCCGATTCTCGAGGGCGCAGGTTCGAAGCCAATATGTAGCAAAGGTTTTTTATTCGAGGCTTATATCTAGTTTTTCTTATTTTACTTTATAAAGCTGCTTTTTTGTCGTGTTCTCGCTAGTGTTTACGAAGCGCAGCTTCGTCTCTGTGTTAAAAATGTTATTGACTGGTCAAAATTATTTAGGAGTTCTGGTTTAATTACTTGGCTTAGATTTCTTTCTTTACACAAGCAAACACTGTGAAAAGACGAGTGTTTTTTTTTCAAACGTAACTCGCAAATTATATACCCAATTTCATGGGCGATCAATTTACTGATATTTGCTTATCACCTTTAATAGAGCCACTGGTTTTTATTAAGAGACAATGAACGTGCTGGAGACTCTTATAAAGGTCACGAAAAGCGTGATCGATTTCTAGTTTCGAAAATGGATTTTAATTTTCAGATTTCCCAGCAGAATTTAAAATTTACCTATTGAACCAGTTTTCTCCAATTGAGTTAGTTTCATCAAAAAATTGTCAATCAGAAGTTGTTTTTGAAATTCAAAGAGCATATATTTTCAAGGCCATATATTTTTAAGAGTCGATGAACGTAGTTCGGACTCTTATAGAGGTCGCGATGATTTTTTTTCGGGGAAAGTCTTGAAATTTTATTAAGGCTCAAATTTTTACTTTTTGGTGGTTCGACGTTTGATTTCTTTACAAGTTAAGTTCATTTTCTTTGTTGAAAGCAATGCAATTCACTGTTGAACAGCAAAAGTGTAGAAGTCACAAAAAGTCATTGACTTCTTGTCTCTAATGTGGCATTTAATTATCAAAATAAAAAAAATTGGGTAATTTTATCTTAAAGTGCCATTTATATTTTGTTCCAGAAATTCAAAGAGCTTTAAGGGCATCTATCCTTATCTTAGAAATTCGAAATTTGAGATTTTTTCAAAAAACAAGTTATTATGTTTTTTTGTACTTACATTCATTGGCTCAAATTTCAACTGCCTACTGGCTGTGTTTTTTTAGTTCACATTTGAACTGTAAATCAGCTTGGGCATTTGGCGCAGTCAGAAAAAAAACATGTTCAGCTAATTATTTTTTTCAAAGCCTGATACGTATCTTTGTATTTCATTGCTTTTTCAAGTTTAGATTTAGCCGTTTTTTTTCGGGGGCTATTCTCATGCGCGAAGGACCGAATGGGCGAAAAAACTCGTGAGCGAAAGACCGAAAACAAAATTAGCCGAAAGTCAATTTTTATAAAGGCCAATTGCCATTCAATTAAAATGATTTAAATGAAGCAATGTTTTGCTTCTTCCATAATAAAACCATTGAAGTATAAAATCTGTTCCAATTCGGCGCCGGTCAGTGACAACTTGAAAGTTTTGGATATTTCTGCCGTTTTTATATTCGGCCAAAATCAATGTTCAGTCCCTGGAAATAATTACTTTACTTCCAATTTTTAGATTACTGAAATCTGATTGGCTGGTTTTTATTTTCGCGCATTCGGTCCTTCGCGTATGAGGGATTCCACCGTTTTTTCATGGTGTAGAAGAGGTCACTGAATATTTTTTTGTTTTAGTAATGTAATTTTTTGTTTTAGTAATGAACTTGGTGCACAATGAACATAGTAATATAGGTCTTGGTGATTTTTTTCAGGACAAGTTCTGAAATTTGTTCATGCTAATTCTTTATTTTCCACGGCTTGGCTTCTGATTTCTTTGTAAGTTTCGGCTTGATAATAAGTTATTATGAAAATAAATGGGATCAGTTTTTTATTTAATTTATTTTTTGAGACGCTTTGGAAAATTTTTTTCGTTTTTTTTTTCAAAAAATTCGATCGATTTTCAAAAAAAATAGTACCAAGGGAAAGTACAGCCAGTTCCCTGTGGGCATGCATAATACCCTAGTCTCTGTTCACCTTACCTCAATATCTACAGCCTTTCAAAAAATCTGTGGTCGGAATATTTGACCCAATATTTTTCGATTTTTTTTTCACTTTCCTGAAAACTACCCTCCCAAATCTGCTATCGTGTTCAATCGAAGGGACAAATGTGAAGTAGCTCACCTGCAGAAGCGGCTACGCCCTTTTTTTACGCAAAAAGCTGTAAACTTCAAAAAGTCAAATATTAAGTTCTTTTTTAATCGTTTTTGATACCTACCGAAAGCTACCATCTCAAATCTAAATTTTTGGGTTCAATGGAGAGAACGGGTTGTGCTTAGCTCTCCTGAATTATTGGCGTCGGCCTATTATATTTACCAAAAAGTAATCCTCCCCGAAAAAATCATATTTGTGATTTTTTGACGTTTTCTTAGGAAATTTCTAAATTCTCAAAATATTTCACTCTTTTTTATTTCAGAAAAAAATTAGGTTGTGGGTGAAGCCTTATTTTGATATTCTCTATTTTCTCCGGCATCAGTATAACAAAATCAAAAATTATCAAAGAGTTATCTCCAGTTTTAGCTGGGTACATTGTTTACTCGTTTTTTGTTAAAAGGAATGCGAACTCCACTCCAACAGCAAATCTGTAAAGGTCACAAAATATATGATTGACATCTAATTTCTAACTGTCAGTTGGCTATGTTTTATCGACGAGGTTGTTATTTTTGTTTTTCTTCAGGAAAAAATTTGACGCTCAAATTTTGCGGTTCGACTGTTGATATTGTAAAATTCAGAAATAAAAAAATCACCGATAGATCCAATTTTCTCTAAATGGGACATCCTTAAAAAGTCTAATTATGAACAATTATTGAAATTCAAAGAACGTAAACGCAATCCATTTTTTCTTCTCAGTTCGATAAGTGAAAAATTTTCTACCATGTAGTTTTTAGTTTCCTTTAGTTTTTTTTGCACTGTTCAACCTGTGGCTAAGTTTGCGAGTTTCAGCTTCTCGTCGAAATAATTTTTTGAATGATTATGGCTTGTGGCATTTTTGCGGAACAGCTTGAAAGTTATTATTTTGCTCATATCGAATTTTTCAACTTCATAGATGTAACTTCACTCTTAAATCAGAGAAATTTGAAAGCATGAATTAAACTGCGTATTTATTTTCGATTATCGGTAAACGTAACTTTGATGACGCTGTTTGTCTAATTTAAGTTTCTCTGGAACTGTCAAGTTGCCGCACATTCCTCGACCGAATGCCAAGATCTGCGTATTGGGAGATGACGCTCATTGTGATGAGGCCAAGGCCAACGGATTCGAATCTATGGATGTGGAGGCCATGAAGAAATTGAACAAGGACAAGAAGCTAGTGAAGAAACTGGCCAAGAGGTACAGGGCGTTCGTTGCTACTGATTCTGTTATCCGACAGATCCCCCGTCTGCTGGGTCCCGGTTTGAACAAAGCGGGTAAGTTCCCCACCCAGGTGACCCACAACGACCAACTGGTGAACAGAATCAACGAGGTCAAGAGCACCATTAAGTTCCAGATGAAGAAAGTGTTGGTTTTGGGCGTGGCTATTGGCAACGTGACGATGGAAAACAAGCAGCTGTACGAGAATATTACTCTGGCAGTGAACTTCTTGGTGTCGTTGCTTAAGAAGAATTGGCAGAATGTCAAGTGTCTCTACATCAAGAGCTCAATGGGCAAGCGACAAAGAATCTACTAAGTGGAACTTGTTGCACGTCTGAAATTTATTTGCTTTATTTGTTGTTAATGACATACCAGGCAAATTAAATTCTTTGTGCTAAGTCTTTTGGAATCTTGTATGCATTAAGGTGAATGTAAAAAGGAATATTTTTGAACTGGAATATTGGAGTTCACAACAATAAATGTTGAGTAGCCAGTTGACATAAAGCGTAGCCAAGATTAATTGTTCATTAAAAAAATTGTTTCTTAGGTTGATAAACTAACTTTAAAACCAACAATGTAATTAAGATGCATTTTGTGAAAACATCTTGATAATTTTCGAGGAAAGCTATGCGTCTAACGAATTGTCTGAGTTCACATATTTGTCGCATTTGTACGTTGCATACCCGAAACTTGACACAGAAACGAAGCAGATCTTCCAAATTCTGCAGTTCTCCTCTTGAAGCAGTAAAGGACGTCCAAGATGGTAGCACGTGCATGTTTGGTGGATTTGGCCTTTGTGGGATTCCAGAAAACTTGATCAACGCGTTAAGAAAAAGCGGTGTAAAGAACTTGACCGCTGTCAGTAATAATTGTGGAGTTAATGATTTTGGGCTTGGAATTTTACTCATGAATAGACAACTCAAACGTATGATTGCGTCATACGTAGGAGAGAATAAAGAGTTGGAGCGGGCTTTTTTGAACGGGGAGCTGGAGCTTGAACTTGTTCCTCAAGGAACGTTGGCTGAGAAGATTCGCTGCGCGGGAGCTGGGATTCCTGCTTTTTATACCCCTACTGGCTATGGGACCCTAATTCACGAAGGCGGAGCACCTATAAAATACGCCCCTGGCGGTGGCGAAATTATCATGTCAAGTGAGCCTAAGGAGTCCAAGAAATTTGATGAGATCGAATATGTTCTGGAGAAGTCTTTGAGCGCAGATTTCGCCTTTATAAAAGGCTACAAAGCTGACTATGCAGGCAATGTTGTATTTAGAAAAGCGACGCAGAATTTCAATTTGCCTATGGCTAAAGCAGCAAGAAAAACCATAGTAGAAGTTGAAGAATTAGTAGATATCGGGGATCTCCCTCCCGATTTAGTCCATTTACCTGCCGTTTACGTCGACAAAGTTCTGCAAGGGGAGCGATACGAAAAACGAATCGAACGCTTGAAGCTATCAGACCCAAATGACAAGGCATCCGAAAATTTGTCCGAAAGAGACGAAGTTAGGATGAGAATCATCAAGCGCGCAGCACGTGAGTTTCAAGATGGAATGTACGCCAACTTGGGAATAGGAATTCCAGCGCTTGCCAGTAACTTTATACCCAAGGGGATGAACGTGACGTTGCACAGTGAAAATGGAGTCTTGGGAGCCGGGCCGTTTCCAGAACCAGGCTTGGAAGATGCAGATCTGATCAATGCTGCAAAAGAAACTATTACTGTGCTTCCTGGAGGCTCTTATTTTTCCAGTGATGAATCTTTTGCAATGGTGCGAGGCAATCATATACAGCTGACAATGCTTGGAGCTTTGCAGGTGTCCAAGTTTGGAGATCTGGCTAACTGGATGATACCGGGGAAAATGGTGAAAGGTATGGGTGGAGCTATGGATTTAGTTTCGGCCACTCAAGGTCGAGTTGTGGTCACTATGGAACATACGAGTAAAGGAACGCATAAGATTTTGGACAGATGTTCGCTTCCTTTGACAGGAAAGAATGTGGTTGATACTATTATTACGGAAAAGTGTGTATTTAAAGTAAACAAAGATTCCGGACTAATTCTGAAAGAATTGTGGCCTTCAGTCTCAATTGAAGATGTGAAAGAAAATACGGGATGCGATTTCCATGTAGACAGTGAAAATTTGACAGAAATGATGCAGTAGATAGCAGTGCAGTTCAAAAATAATTTATCTGTGAGGTATAAATCACAAGTATTAGTTAGTATACATGAGGTGAAATAATAAATATACCTGACCAGCTTTATTCATCTTAGTTTATTCATCTTAATTTATTTTTTCAAAAGTGTGGTTTTCCAAAGTGATTCGTATAGTATCTGATACAAAGAAAAAGTTTATATAGGAAATTCGATTAGACTCAGGATGAAAAACGATATAACTATCTATCATGGCCTGTAGCTGATTGTTTTGTCTACAGTTGAAAATGTCCTTTTCAGGTAGTTAGAATGAAGGTTCCCAAGGAACTAAAGGACTTCGAGGAGGCGATGCAGGACTTGATGAAGATCAGAGTGCCCCTCTCGAAACGAACAGTAGAAAACATCACTCATTTAGGCTTCAGCGCTATAAACTACTACAAGCATGTAGCAGTCATCATCGAGAAGTTCATCAAAAAATGCAAACCAACTCACAAAATTTGTGGACTGTATGTTATTGACGCTTTGGTCAGATATACTATAAAGCAAAAAGGCAAAGAAGGAGATCATTTGGGGCCTCGATTTACCAGAAATTTCTCCGAGACGTTCGAAAGAATAATGCACTGTCCGTCAAAAGATTACCCGAAAGTCATAAGGGTTCTGAATCTATGGCAGATGAAAAAAATCTACTCGTGTGATGTGATTCAACCTTTACTGGGCATTGTGACCAAATTTGTCGAAAGCAAAGACATTTCAAGAAGCCCCTCAATGGGCGAAGGTGGAATGGGTAGTGGGAATGGGGGAAGTTTAGATGGACCTTCGACTCCTCCCCAAAATGACGAAGAAGACAGCTATGACGAGGATGCAGATAACGGCTCATATATGTCGGAAATAGATGGTTCTTTTGAGCAGCCGAGAACCCCGCCTTTACCCGATCCTAACTCGTACCCACTTGGACCTGGTAAAAAGTCACCATCACCAAAAACTAAACGCCCCTCGCCTCACAAGAAAAAATTTCAGCCCTTGCTAGAAATCAATACTTCGTTGGCTGTCGAGGAAATGACTGATGAGGATAAATATACACCGACAACTAGCGAAAATGTAAGGAAATTGGGAGAGCTTCTAAATGTAACGTCAGGAGAAACAGAATCGAAAAACAACTCGACCGAGAAAACTAATGCAGCCGAATTTTTACAATTGCTAAAAACCGTCAATGACGAGTTTTCACAGGAACTGCCGTTTGGTTCTGATACTAAGTTAGACCGAGAGTTGCGAGGTGAAGAGTTGCGTTCAGATTTAGAAAGCGAAGTTCTAGGAAATGAGTCATTAACAAAAGAGTGCGTGAATATTCCACTTGAGTACAAGAATACTGTTGATATGTCGGAATTTAGTCCGATTTCTGACGGGCAAGATATCAATGGATCTGACATGGATATCGAATCAGCAAATAAAAAGACTGAAAAATTGAAAAGTCCTGAAAATGATGTCGTTGAAGGAGCTGTGAAGCCTGAAATAGAGTTCTCGAATGAAGGAAAAGAGTCAAAATTGGTTGCGTCAAACTACGCCGAGGATAACGAAAACATAAAAATCACAGTACATCAAGATGCAGCGGCTTTAACAACAGTTACATTAGAAAATAAAGAGGAAGAAAAGACGAGAAAGCGAGAGAAAAAGATGCCGAAAAAAGAAAAGACGAAAATAAGTCAAAGGACGCCTCGGGACCGGAAAAGAAATTACAGAGAGAAGAAAGGCAGTCCGGTTGAGAATTTGATGCCAACTGGATCTGACCTGGGCGAGTTGTCGGACTATCAACAACCTGAGCTAATTAAACATGGTGCTAAAACTAAATTATCGCCGGAAAAGCCTATGCTCACGAAACACATTAAGCGGAAGAAGCACAAATCTAATAGTTTTGCTACAAATGAACGCAGTCGTTCTTCAAGCAGTGCCTCAGAAAAGAAGAAGAGCAAAAAGTCGAAGAAGAAAAAGAAGAAAAACAAGAAACATAAGAAGAAGGCGAAAAATAAGCACGAATCGTCTAAAAAGTCAGACAGTAGTGAAGAGAATAGCGATGGTAGCGAGAACGATGAACATTCGAAAAAGATTCACAGAACTCCAACGAAGTCCTTGAAAGAAGAATTGGATTTGATAAGTGCAAGAAAAAACAAAAAGCGGAAAAAGGTTGATTTTGACCTTGAAAATGAACTGACCACAGATCCTATAGTTAACTATGGACCGCATTTGTACCCTAAAAAGTGTATTATCATATACAGTACTGTTTTATCAATTAGCAATATCACCGACCTAAGTTTCAAACGTGTAAATGATTTATTGAAAGTGTACGGGAATGTTTTGAGCGTTGAAATGGTCGTATCTTTGAACAAAGCTTTAGTTAATTACTCAGAACGCAAATCAGCCTGTTGCGCTCTAGTTTCGCTTAGACACAGGAACGAGTTCGGAATTTCTTGGGCTTTTCCGAAGCCAGTTAGCCAGCCACCCTGGATTGAGATGTGGGATGGATCAGTGGGATGTTGTGTTGTTCCGTGGAATAAAGCGCCTAAGGATCCCTTGGTAGCCTTTTTGGATGGCTGCTTCATAGATAAGTCAACTTTGCCTCCGCCTGAAGAATTGACAAAAAATAACGAAGTAACCAGCTCTACAGACCCGGATCGGACGCTGACCTATTCACAAATAAGTGAAGACGAAAGCATAGGAGCACCATCTAACGCCGAGATCAAAAAGAAGATAGCGAAGATGATTGCCAAAAGTCAAAAGATTGGAGCTGCAAACGACGAGCCGCCTTCGCCTAAAAAGTAAGACTAAAATCTACAATCTATACTTCTGTTTCTTTTTTTGTGAATTTAACAGATGATGTTAATTTTGCAGGAGCAAAACCGAATCGAGTGTTTCTAACAGTTCAGCATTCAAACCTGCCCCATTTGCGCCAGTTGACAGGAAAGCTGAAGGTATTTATATAGTATTTGAAATCAAGAAAAACTGAACTGCTTACATAAGGTGAATCATCTTGCTTTCAAGTTCTGTAGTGTTAAACGAGACTATAAGGACATTATTTCTTGTCTTTATTTTCTCATCCATTATGATCAATAAAATTCTGTTCCTTTACTCTGGAGTCCATAATCTGGGATGCACAATCCGAGGAATAGAATTTGGAATAGGATATAAATTTGGAAAAGGATTTGTGACAAAAAAATGGTTACTTGTTGATTTAAACTTATCAACGTTTTTATTTTTGGAATTTATATCCGACATTCAGAAAATTTACTGGTTTTGGACATTACCCATGTTCGGTAGATTAAGTTAAATTTCTGTTCACGGAGTTTGATTTCTGTTATAAGTTAAGTTGGTTACACTAACGAGCTTGAGAGCGTTAGTATTATTACGAAGCTTCTTTTTCTAACTTAACTGGCAAATAAAAGTGTTCATTAAAAGTGTCATTAAAAGTAACACTTTTGCTATAATCACGATCTGTAGCATTGGAAATTTCATAGCATCTGTTCTCAGCTTTATTTGTGGCTCGTGCTTTATTTGTGGCTCGAGTGGTTAGTGCGTGAGACGCATAATCTCTAGGTCGCAGATCGAATCCGAGACGTAAACGAATTTTTACTATTTCGAAGCTTAATTCTACTCTTTTTTATTGAACTTTATAGAGCTGAGTTTTGTCATTTTCTCGCTAGTGTTTGAGAAGCACAGCTTGCATCTGTGTAAATATTCAGTTGCAGAAGATCTGTTAAGTTAATAAAATTGTTGATTTTTTTTGTACATATATCTGTTGCATGATTTATGCAGTTTCTGAAGCTTTCTTATACCTGCTATTCCTGTAATATTCATCTTCGATGTTAGATTTCAAGAGAAGGCTTTTCAAAGTTTACTCTTTTATCAGATTCAATTAAGTGAAATTTTGGTTAGCGATTTAGTTATGCTTGATCGGTAAGCTTCAAAACTTGTTCACTCAATTTTGATTTTTTGCTTGTATTTTGATTTTTGAAATTGAGCTCATTTCCTTTGATAAAAGAAAAGCAAACTCACTAGCGAGCAGCAAAAGTTTTACGGCTACGAAAATCCCACCGGTTTAAAAAAATCATTGATCAAGTTTCTCTTAATGGCAAAACTTTGAGAGAAACTGCGGATCATTAACTATACTTGAAATTCAAAGAGCTTTAACATATAATTTTGAAAAACGTTCAAAAATTTCAACCAATTTTTTTCGGTGTCTTGGTGATCTATTACACTTTTCCAACCATCTGCTGGCTATTTTTTTGCTACGACCACCCCTACGGATGAGCAGGTACTATGATGTAGGGTGGGTTTTGTTGATTCAAAGAAAACTCAGAGACGATCGAATGAGGTATCATTTTAAAGCACTTTTTGTCGCGCTTCGTATTACGAAGGAACGAAGCAGTTTTTTCAACAGCCAAGCTGATGTTTTGTTATTTATCCAGGTCAACCTTTTTCAAATCAAGTCGCGCGTTGAAATCATTTTTTCCCTGTCAAATTTTTTGCATAGTTTTCTGATTGGCTTAATCTGTATCTTAAAGTTTGGCTGAATCTGTATATTAAAATTTGGCTTAATCTGTATCCATGGCTTAATCTGTATCCATTGACTTAATCGGTATCCAGTTTCCTGCCATATATATGTTATAAAGTGTCGAAAAATTAAAGCGAGTTTTTATTTTGTTTAGAATATACTTGAAAACTCATTTTTAAATGAAGTTAAATTAGGCTCTTCAATAACAAAAATTCAAATGGAGCGAAAAATTGAGCTTGTATTTAAATTGCAAAGGTCTAGTTAATTTTTAGATCGTCCAGTCGATTTGAGAAATACCTATAGATAAATTGTCAATGATTAGTCTTCTTAGAAAACGTCAATCATGAGAGATTCTTGTAAGTGAAAGCGCTTCAAGGTGATATATTCTGTTTCTGGAAACTTGACAATGAATAGTTTCCGAAAAAGTGTTTTTTTTTCGGTTTCCTTCAGTTCATTTGCACTAAAGGTTGAAAAGATTATTTTTGATTTGCAGCTTGAAGTAAAAGACATTTAGGAAGATATTTTGCAATCTTTCTCCGGAATTAAGAGTTTGATGAAATCAGTTAAAACTTCAAGTTTATTAGTTGTGCCGAGTGATTTTGTGCTGTTAAAATGTAAAGTAATTTGTTCCCACCACACCACTGGAAGTCGGAAAGAACTTTGTATTTGGGTGTTTTTCTCATGCCGACTTAGGTTAGACAAAGGCAATTTGTAGGATGTAGTTCGCTGTATAAAACTTTTTCACGGCATAAAAGATATGATCGACTTAAAAAATATTTAGATCTTCTTGGTGTTGAGAAAAACCGGTTGAACACAAGCTTGCCTTTTAAATAGAATGAGAGCAAATTGTGAAAATAACTCGCTTTTGATTTCTAAAAAAAGCACTTTTAAAATATTGCTTTATTGGATCGTTGTTCTTGAATTTTTGTCTTAAATAGTTAAGTATTGTCTCTTAAAATAAGCAAGATTATTGCACTTTGGTACTAGAGGTTTTTCTTGGAAACAACTTTGTTTTCAGGTCGAATGAAATTGGTTGGTCTTTAAGTTTGTACGGCCAACTAACCGACAAATTTTGAGCGTGTTTGCATTTTTGAATACCCGCTCTTCTTCGATTTTTGATTTTTTTTTCACGTTGGTTGAAAATTTGTCAAATACTTCAGCATATCATAAAAAAGTTATATCCAAATGTTTTGAGGGATATATAACTCTTGTAAGTTTTATAGTTTTTAAAGCATTTTTTACCGGCTAAACGTGTGTCTGTTCAAGGTTTATCGGCTTTATTACCTTTTGACATGTTTTTCATAAAGAGAAATTTTTAAGAACAAAATCAAGACACAGATACCAAAATGTTTACTTTCCCTCTGCAAAAATGTTGTAAATTACCCGCGAATAAAAAGTTTCAATTCTTTCTCTAAACTTTTACCCTCTTTTTTATTTTGTTGTTGCAAAAATAACTGCGATCGGGAGCTTTGTGTGAAGTGTACATTAACAATTTAAAATTTAAAGTTTTCTTCTAAGGCGTGAAAAAATTTAATTTGACTCCAAGAAAACTAGTTTTAGAAGCTTCATTTTGCTTCCTTGGCAATAAATAACTTTCAAATAATCCAAAAAAATTCTGCAGTTTTTCTGACTTTTTGCCTCGTTTTCAAGTTAAAAAAATAATGAAGTGGTTTTCACTCACGTAGGTCTCGATGATTTTTTGCTTAGGAAAACGTCTTAAAATTTCTATACGCTCACGTTTGATTTTTCGCGTTTTGGCTTATGATTTTTTTCTTAGTTCACTTCATCTTTGTTAAATAAAGCCAAATTCCTCTATTGAACAGCAAAAATGAAAAGTTTGCAAAAAATAGGAATGATTTCTTGTTTCAAATATGGAATGAATTCACTGCACAATAAAAAAAAATCATATATCGATCCAGTTTTCTCTAAATAAGATAATTTTACAGTAAAAGTGCCATTAATAACCAGTATTTGAAATTTAAAGAGCTTAAACGAGAATTATTTTGTTCTTCGAAATTCGAAAGTTGAAAAATCTTGAAAGTTTTCATTGTTCTTCTACGCTTTTCAAACTGTCTGTTGACTGTTTTTATTTTTTTTTGTTGAACTTCGGCAAAAATTTTGTAGGTTTCATCGTATTCCACTCCTCATGACTGCCCGCAAAAAATAAATTTTCGCTTTTTTCTTTAATGTGGTCCGAACTCTCTGTGCTACTTGCACGGCAACCGGCTACTCTTGGCTTGATACCAGTATGACTTTGGATTTTCTATGACAAAAATAATCGCTATTGATAGTTTTTCAAGGTTATCTAATTTAATCAGTCGTAAATATATGCGATAATGAACGGCATGCGTTACACATAATTAAGTTGTGCAGATATATAGGCTCAAATTGGAAGGTGCAGTTAAGCTCCATTTCAACAAAAATGGAATTGCTGCTCCTTTGTTTCCTTGAGCTTATCGATGCTTATCTAACTGGGTGCTTCATAAATTTAAGCAAAAAAAAAATCAACTAATTTATTTCGACTTATTTGGGTCGTGTTTTTTGTGGAAAATTGAAATTCTCTTTTCGTTTTTTGTTTCCCAGGCGAGTCTTTTGAAGCACGCATTTTCTGGTTCAAACTGAATTTTCCCATGACAAAATGGCTCCTCGCTTTTAGTTATACGAAGGAATTTAAACGGATTTAGAACGGAATGGTACAAAAAGAAACGTATACATTTTCTCAAACATTGTTAAATATTATTCTAATTGTCTTTTTGGTTTTAGCAACAAGGTTCAGTGCCTTCGGATGGGGATCAGCGAAAAAGGCGACATCTGACTCATCTGCTGCTACCACATCAACATCAACATCGAGCAGCAATCCTCTTGCATCAACAGCAGAAACGACGGCATACAACTCAGCTAACATGTACATGAATGCCCATTACCAGAACTACCTTCAAACTGCCGCCATGTATCAACACATGTCATACCCGCCCGGATACACTTACCCTTACGCCAGCTATGGTGCTTACAACCCATATGCTTATTCTGGGGGGTATGGAATGCCGACACAAAACTATCAGCAGATGTACGGAGCCGCTGCGGCATCATCGTCAAACAGTCCGTATACTGCATTTGTCAATTCAGAGGCTTCGTCACAGTCTGTTACTGGTGCTTCACCTTCGAAAAATGCACAGACGAAAACGTCATTCGCAAGCACGAATCAATCCTCGACTTCGGCGGTGACGAGTAAAGTCGGTTATAATCCTAGCAAGGTGCCAACTTGTAGCTCAACTACGGTACCAAGGTCATATAGCAATTTTCATGTGGCTCCGCCTGTTCCAAGTTCGAATGATAGTACGCCAAGTAGTGGAATGAGCTCCTGGACGGACAGTGCAACCAAGCTAAATACATTGTGGAATAATACTGTAACTAGTAGTCGTTCAAGTGTGGCCGCAAACATTGCAAATTTTACTTCGCATGCAGCAACGCCTTATTTGACTTCGAACACAGCAACGTCTACCTTTTCGTCGAATGCAGCAACGCCGCGAGCTCTACCGGGAATTGATGGAAGTTCAAATTCAAAAGACGTCGATTTTAGAGTGCAAGGATATCCTCTACCGCAGCACAAGAAAATTCCACCATCAGCAGTGACTTCAATTTCGCACGGGGTTGCAATTAACCCGGTCGTTGTATCAAACTACAAGAACTCGACGACAGTGCAGCGTGAACCGACATTTGTAAATCAGAACTCGAGTAGCTTTGGAAGCTCGGTGACTAGTTCGAGTCCCATTGTTGTTTCAAGTACGTCAAGCACATCAGCGCAGTCAGTGAAATACTTTTTTCAGTCGTCAGTAGCTAATCAACTCCAAACACCAAAAGGAGTTAGTTTTTCTTTGGCTTCAGCTGCCAAAAATCCAACCGATGTTGCAATCAACGCTGTTAAAGCTTTCTTGTCCTCAAGCAATAGCGACAACAGTAAAGATAGTGTTTCTAGTGCTCAGAATGGTGCCAATTCAAGTTTGAAGCAGATGCTAATTCCTCCAGTGCCACCACCGTTCCCTCCGCCTCCGAGTTTCATGCCGACTTCCAAAGGTTCCAGGCAACCTTCAAAACCTCCGTTGACGGGTACCAGGTGCACTTACATGTCGCAATATAGTCTTGCCAATCAGTCTGATAAGTCAATGACTTCTGCCGCTAACAGCAGTGTTTTATTGGCTTCTAGTGCAACTACCGCCTCAAATGGTGCTTATGCGACATCTACAGCTCCTATGAGCACTCAATCAAACATCAATTCCTTAATGAGTTCTACATCATCAACCAGTTTCCTAAATGTTTCGTCCGCCGCTGTAACCGTTGCAAATAATTTGTCTGATAAATCAGCTTCAAGAAGGTCAGAAGAGACTTGTTTGCTATCCAAACGTAGCGATATCTCGGATCCTCTTAGAACACTTGAATTGAGCGCACCAGGCACTGTAAGTAATGACACCGCCGTGAATAATCAAACGGCAATTTCTCCCACCAGTCCCAAAGTGTCAACAGATGACTTTAAAGAATCTGTGTCTCGTGAAATCCCAATTGTTCCAGTGCCAAACCCATCAGAAGGTTCCCTCGAAAAGACAAATGACTTGGATCATGGATTCCAAAACAGTGCGCATGATATTTCGAAGTTTTTTATGAATTCTATGCGACATTCTGGACCAGTTACTACTAATCAAGTGTCGGCGAATGCGGATAAAGCTCCTCAAAGTTTGCCAATACTTACGTCTACAAAAGATAATAACGATTGTGTTGGAAATAACACAACAACTAGTGGTGAAAATGATGATCAGCAAGATGTTGATATGGATGAAGTGCAATCACAAACCATCTCGGATGACGGAACGGTGACAAGCGAGTTCGCTAACTTCCTGAAAAGTGCCCGAGAGTGCTGTCAAAGTGTCTTGGATAATTGTGAAGAACAGAGATCGATGCCATCTAGTGTCGAGAATGAACTCGAATCTGAATACTTGTCTAGCCGTCAGGCGCCACCACTTATTAGGTTTTTAAAGTCGCAGACAGTACCCATGTTCCACGAAAGGACATTTCGACCTCATTGTCATGATTCACAGCTGGTACCTCGAGGTCCCATTTTGAATGGTCCAGATAGAGTTGGAAATCGTCCTGGACACGAACCAGTTCGAATCAGAATTCCAATTTTCCGAGCAAGGAATCCGGATCAGAATGAGGAAATTATGAGACCACGGGGAATGATGTCAGACCAAGGGAAAATGAGATTCCCGCCTCCGAGACCAGAACTCGCAAACACCCCTCCTCCGACAAGAGCTGTGCCTCCACGATTTATGAGAGTTCCTGCGATTAGACCGAATTTCAGAGGTCCTTTACCAGAAAACATCCGCCGTATTCAACCATTGCGATTTCATGGACAAACGAGTTTTGAGCCGCAACCTCCGATAGAATTGTCTAGAGATGATGTGCGGCAGAATACTTCAAATCAACTCTTAAGGAACTTGGTAGTATCTGCTGGAGTTGACCGGGGACCCGGCGTTCCGTTTTCATCTGCCCAAAGGATGAGTTTCGCACCTCCTACTGGTGGTCAAAATAGACCGTTTCGACCTCACATGGCTGATATGCCTGGCGTTATGCTACGAAACGAACTTAAATCCAGGCTCACAATGGAAAGCCCCGAAAAAGGGTCTGGCATGTTAGAGAAAAGAGCTGAAATGATTTTGCGCAAAGAAATGCAAATCGCGTTACGTGCAATAAATCCAAACAATTTTGAAGGCGGAACCAGTGCTGCGACTGGTGCAAAAGGTGATCTAAATGAGTTCACATATTCAACAAATATCAAGTCAAGACTAGGGAGCATTGAGAGTAAAACATTGAATCCAATCAGGATGAATAATGGAGGGGGTGTTGTGAGGCTAAATCTAGGAGATCCGGGGACTGGTATATCATTAGATATATCGAGGGGATCCGTAGGTTCGAGAATCGAAAGATCGAATTCCGACGGAACATCTGGCAACAGTCCAATAAAACGAAACTTCGCTCAGTCGAATTTGAGCCCTATCAGGTCGAGTGGCTTCACTAAACAAATGAGTGGAACTCAGCATCAAAAAGGAGCGATAGGAATTGATTTGAACATTCCGTTTATGTAAATCTGAAAATTAAAACTTGCCTTTGCATGAAAGATTCGAAAACTTGACTATTGGACATTTTCTGCTAGGTCTCTCAAACCGAAAATGAGTAACCTCGTTTAAAATAGTAACAAGAACTTGATTATGAAATACCTCTATGTGGTCATTTACTGGTTCGTAAGCTAGTATGTAGCAATTTTGTTCTCTTTTTATTTATCGCCTTAGTTTAAAACTGCTACGGTTTCCTTCTTTCAATTCGCAAATGATTTAAATGTAAATTTATCTATTCTCTTTGTCGTATTCAATTCTAAATTTTTAAATCAGGCATCTTGAATCGCAGTTTTATACCTCTTGTTGCTTAGCTCAAAACCGTAATGGGAGTTTGACACATGCGACATCAACTGTATTGTAATCGGGAACAAGTTTTTTTCCAAAAAAAAAAATGTTTTAGAATGTTTACAAATATTTTTAGAATTTCATTTATGAGAGGGTGATTTCTAAGACATTGTGTGAGCAAGTCTGCATTTCAACTTTTTTTCTATTTGAAATTTGTTCTAAAGTCTAAAAGAACGAATTAATTTTCACTTATATACGTTTTGATGATTTTTTTGTTTTTTAGGAAAAAGTCTTCGTCCACGCTCAAATTTTGTTTTTTTTCTGCGATTTTGACTTATGATTTATTTTTTGAGCTCAATTTATTTCTTTAGATTAAGGCAGTTTCCCAGCAGAAGAAAAAATACATATTGATAGATAGTTCTCAAAATTGAATATTTTTACAAAACAAGTTCCATTCAGAAAGTATTTGAAATTTAAATAGCTTCAACTTGAAAGAAGTTTTTCTTCGACTTTCGAAAGATGGAAAACATTTGCAAATTTTCAAGCAGCTTTTTTTGGTGTCCTTGTTCTTTACAGTTTTCGAACTGTCTGTTATCTGTCTTTAATGATTGAAAGAACTCCGGCGGTTTTGTTACGACCATTGAAAATGGGGAGGAAACTTGTATTCCGGTGTTTTAGAGCTACCACAAACAAGGAAAATTAGCTACCACAATCAAGCATCGGAGTGAGCTGAGTGATATACTGTATTAACTTCCATTCAGTTGTAATTCGAAGGACACTCATTATTTTCCAAAATAAATTTCCCAACCTTGAGAATAACCAGTTTGAATGTTCTAGTAAGCCAGTGATCAGGCTTACAAAGGTGATTTAAGCTTAAGTAAAGTCGTAAAAACTTAATTTCACTCGACTTAAATTTCTCGGAGTGTTTTTGCCGCCATTTTGAGAATCAAAAAGTTGAAAAGATTTCAAAAATTTCTGCCAATTTCTGTTTTTTTTTTTGTTTTTCTATTTTTTTCGAAAACAGTTGTCCAAGTTGCTATTTGACTATGACTCTCGAATTTTCGTAAATTGCAGTTTTTTTGTTCAGGTCGTTTCATCACAACACGCAGAAAAAAAACTAAACAAATTTGACTATGCTCGGAACATTCTGTGCTATTTTCACGGTAAGTGTCTATCCTTATTTTGTTTGCTTTTTTTGCTTAAACTGTTTATTTGGCTAGAAAGGCGCTTCGGTAAATTTTTTTGGGCTTAGTTAGCTCAAAATGTCGTGTGAAGACAGAAAATAATTTTTCATTTGTGTTTGTGTGCGCTAAAGGATGTATCAATCTTTAAAACTTCAAGTTCTGAAGTTTTGTTCCAGATCCAAGTTTTTGACAGATTTTTTTTGGCTCAGCAGGTGGCTACCCAAGTTTTCTCGAGTTAATTGCGAATTCATAGTTTGCGTTTTATGCTCATTTACTGCTAGCAATTGCATTTCAATATATTTAAAATGGAACCTTCCTAAATATTGAAGTTTTTATAGACCTTTTTTTTTCAATTTTTTTTTCGGCTAAATTGCTTTTTAGCGTTCCCTAGTTATTATTCCTACTATCCTATGGTGACAGGAAGAAATTTTGGACAAGTAGATCTTTGTCGAACTGAAATTTGTTTTAGGAAAAACTACTTATCCAAAGAATTTTCGTACGTGCTCGGCTGATTTATCATCGAATTGTCTAATTTTTTTGGATTTTACAATTTATCCTCTATAGCTTTTTTGGTAACTGCAAGTTATTATTCAGAATTCAAAAAATTGTACGGTGGCTGTTTCAATACCGGCGTATTTATTATACCATACAACTGAAAGAGTTGACTGATTAGTTAGTTTAGAGTGTTTCAATGCGACAACACTTAATTGGTTCTTGTGAAAAAAAAATGTTCGTGCTTTCAAGAATTTTTGTTAACGCCCCTTAAGTTATCAACAAGTTTTTCAAATTCTTTCTACACAAGGACCACTTGGTTCAGCCAAATGCTATATAAGAAAAATTCAAGTGTTTTTTTGAAGTCAATAGTATAGGGTGGGTTTTTCCGATCTGTGCCATACAAAACGCAATTCAACCCCGCAAAAGAAACGCCAAAATTTAGCATTTAACGGCAAACTTTTGAAGTTTTTTGCGCTCCACCCTCACATAAAGTGTTTATTGGCGCCGAAAAAGCATATAGAAATTTTCAAGTTTTAGTCGATGTCTCCGTTTAAGGAGCGAAGAGTCTTTGCGAGCGTAGAGTAATTAAAAGGAGTTAAATTTGAAGCGAAAATCAGTCTTATCTTTTTTCCGAGAAAATCGCTTATTTTGTGAAGAGTACACATTATTTCCATTGCATAAAAACTAGCTCTATACGTTTTACTGAGGCGCGTTCTTTGCTACCTGATAACTATGTTCATTTTTTTGAAAGAAATTCAAGAAAGGCGTCATGGCTGAGAAGTTAACGCAAGTATTCCGGGATAAAATTTGTAGAATCAGGACGTATTTATTGTTGATTTTTGTATTTCTTGCTTGTAATTTTTGACAAGTGTGGCTTCGCTTCTAAGTGATTACCATTTTTACTATTTTTTAATTGGCTTATAAAATTCTAACAAGACTGCTCGTATCAGCGTGAACCCCTGGATGGTCCGACTGCCTTTTGAGGTTTATGGAGCAGTAATAACAAAAAAAATTAAATTTAATAAAATAAAATGAATTTTTTTTTCTTCTAAAATTTGAAGTTTTTTATGAAAATCATCACTATCACTCCACACGCCATATAGAGTACAAAAGGATAGGTTTCGCTAATTGTAACAAATCAATTATGGCAAATAAGCTTCTTTCAATCACCAACTTGGAACGATTTCAAGACGGATTAAATTTCGCTTACGCGTTAATAGTGCGAAATATATCGCGCGTTAATTGTCCCAAAATGGCAATCTTTAAACCCCCATAACTTTACGAAATTGGTCACAGGTGAAATATCTTTTCAACTTTAAGCTCAGGACAACAATAGCTTTCAAGATATAAATAAATTCCGTCAAAAATGGTTAGTTAAAATGTCGAAATTTGTCTGAAGAAAAAAACCAACCGAGCACAAATATTTCGTTACTTTCGTATCGAAAGTCGGAACAATAAAAGCTTACAAAACAAGTCTACGGACACTTTTTTTTTAATTAAAAATATGCAAACTGTGTTACTTACTGGAAAAATTAAAAAATATATATCTGTGCATTAAATAAGCGCTTTTTTGCTGGTTTGAAAAATTAGAGACTAATAGAAAAGTAAAAAGGTTGAAACAGTGGGTGTTTTCAAGTTCCAGATATGATTCGAAATTTCAAGTTGTCATAAGCATTGATAGAAAAAAGTCCTCTCTCGAAAAACAAGTTTCAGTTTCGAAAATGAAACTAATTTTCAGAATTTCTAACAGATTGAAAAGTTGTTTACTGATCCAGTTTTCTCAAGTTTTATCAACACGAGTAAACTAAAATAAAAACAATTTTTGTTGTAGTTTTTTTTAAAAAACCGTGTTGTTCCGACCAGGAAGTGAGAGGCAATTTTGGATTAATGTGTGTATTTTGAACTTTCAGTGAAATATATTGAAAACATCGCAGTTGAGCTTCAGTTAAGATTTTCACATACGTTTTTGAGGTGTGAAGAGAATTATTTAGAGTATTTTGCTTTTCAGACTATTTTCGAGTCACTGTGCGAGATAAAAAATAAAATATGAGTCACTTTCAGATTGTGGTAGAAGTGAAAAATTTTTTTCTTATCCTTATTCTAATCAGTTTTAAATTGAATGAGCTAAACAGTTTCTTCACCTAAAAGCTAGGCACCCACCAACTAAAAGAACCATGATTTGAGAAAAAAATATATGATAGAAGAATATTTATTTTCATAATTTTTTCACAATGACAGCTGAAGACAGAAGCTTCTGTACTGCTATGTTAAGAGTCAGCTCATTTTGTCCCCGAAAAAGCAAAAAACAAAGAATGGCAGCGAACATAGGAAATGTTCAGGTTGGCACTCCTACAGATGCAAAGTGACTGTATAGCCGCATCGCAAAATCACGATGTAATCAAGTTAAGTTTAAAGTGCTTTCATCTTTTTAACGGACTTGGATTTCAGTGAAGCAATTTTTATATTACTTTGGTTTTTTAATCAATTGCGGTAATTATTTTTTGAATAAGCTTGTGATAAGCAAGCGTTATCAAACTTGAATAAAACTTTTCGGGTTAACAATTAGCTAAACAAAATCAGTTGAATCACTTTTCACTTATCTTCTCTTTACTTCTCTTCTTACCCTCTTTTTACATGTTCCACGTTACTTCCCCTTTGGCCTGGAGGTAAAGCAGCTGCCTTTGTACCCTCGGGTTTTGGGTTTGAGTCGTGGCCGGATCTTTTTTTTCAGTATTAGGGAAATTGAAAAAAAAATCGGAGAAAAATGAATTGCTGGTTTTTTGTTTGTTTGCTCAGGTTTTGTCAGCTAAATTGCCACGTGCTGTTCATTCTAGTTTCATGGAAGACTTTAAAGATTTTTGAAAAATCAAAACTTTTTTTTTGGTTAAAGTGGCTTCAGCTCAAAAATGTTTAGCTTAGATGCCACATCACTAATTTTGCTGGTGCTGTAAGCATCTTTTATTGTATTTGCAAGTGCAATTGCTGTCCATTGTTGTTTAAGGTGGGACTTTAAATATATATATATTTTTTAAAAATCTGTTTTTTTTGGGCTCAACTTGTGTCTGCTCAAAAGTTGGCGGCTTTGTTTATTCTCATAAATTTTGTTCCGTTGTTGTTTATTCAAAATTCAAGTGTCTGGCATGTTTGATCAACTTCTATCGAAACAAATGAACGTTTAACTGACATTGTTTTTTTTTCAAAAATTTCCATTTTCGGCTTTTTACGTTTTTAGTTTTTGCTAGTATTGTATCGCAAGTGGTGCGAAGCTCCGCTTCGCCTTTGAGACAAAAGTGATGAATATTGGATCTG